AATCGATTTATTGAGGAATAGAAAGTCATGTAGTATGTCTATGTAAGAGGGTAATAACCATTTTAATAAGATATTCTAAGAAATTTATCCAATATATCAAGTTTATTTTGTTGAATAATTATGTGTGCTTTCCTAATTTGTATTTGTCCTTTTGTAACTCACATGCTATATGGTACAATACATAATATACAGGGTGCGGCAATAGTGCGTCTGGCATATGTAGCTCCTAGTATAAAAAAATATGGGAATTTTGTATAAGCGCAAACCTAAAGTATGTACTAGGATGTATTTTAGGAAAATATTTTAACTTCTATAAAATATGGTGGTTGTATATTATTGCATTTTTGACTTTGTTTACATAATTCTAAGATGCAAGTAAATATATTTCGATAGTTTCAGAGATATTAGTAAATAAATAAAAAAATATGCATATATTTTTCAGCCTTTTTTAAAAAATTATTTAAAATACAGATACTGTCCTAAAATCAAAACTATACTAGGTATTTACTTTAGATGGTCTGTACTTACTTTTCTATAAATATGATAATCGTAATTCATACAGGGTATTCAAAATTCTACGCCAAACTTTCTAAAATATAAAATAATTTTTTTTTTTAATGGAATACCCTGTATATTAGTTTTTTATTAGATGGAGAGTTAAAAAGTGAACATTTTTTGTATTTAGAGTATTTCAAAATTGTTAACGGTTTCGCAGATATTGGCGGTTTTATATTTCATATGGCATTTTCCACTGTAAATTTTTATCAAAACCACCAAATAATTTTTCTCTGGTATTTGACCGTTGAAATATTTTCCTGAAATATAACTTAATACATACTTAGGTTTTCACTTAAACAAAATTCTCATTTTTTTTTATTATTGCCGGACCCTGTTAAAAAAAGATAGGTTTAAAAAAATCTGTTAAAGAAAACATGATATAGAATCTTGAACACAGTATCATCCTGTATATAAACGAAACAATAAGATTTTGAAAATATATGACAATAGTTAAATATACGTTCATTTTCTAGGTACACTGATTAGTGATACATTAGAGATACCCTTATGGCGTTTAATATTTAAAATGTGGGAGACATCAACATGCGATGAGAACAGAAACCTCATGAAATTAAATGGATAATTATTATTTTAACAAGCACAAATCCCAATTTACTATTGATACGTCTGCAACAAACAAATCTGCACGAAAATGAATAACATATTCGCATAGTGCAATATTAATTATCTGCAAAAATACGGTTGCTGCATTAAACTAATACACCATGACGTAAGGCAATTGAAATTCAATTTTTTGTTACGTTTCGACTGTACGTACTGGCACATGATCTAGCTTAGTTACTTTGTCGTAGATTTGACCTGAAATTTGTTACTTTTTTTCAATAGCGGCATGTGATAAGACCTTTTTGTTCGCCTACAGTTGTGAAACTAACTTGAAAATTGATTTAGCGGTGTTTGACTTATGATTAGAAAAAAATAAGTATTTGGGTTAATTAATTCATTCAAATGCTTCGTTATGATTTCATGCTACTGTTGCACAAGAGTCTTGAAAAAGTCTTGCAAGACCAAGATTCTTGCAAGAAATTCAAGACAAGACTTTCAAAATTTCTTGTCTTGAATTTCAAGACAAGACAAGACTTTAATATGCAAGAAATTTCAAGAGTCTTGCAAGATTTCTTGAATTCAAGATTTCTTGAAAGTTAGAAATGACACATTTTTTTAAGTGATAATTAGGCCTTTGCGCAAATTATGTCGGGTTTATACAACATTTACATAGTCGTAATCACAATCATAGTCATAATCATAAACGTTAAACTATGCACTTCTTAAAAACCTGTTGACATCTACCATGAACTTAGCCTTTAATTATGTTACCCAACTTCACTAATATAAAAATTATGATTACGAAAATGTTCTATAAACGCACATTAAAATTGCGTTGTGATTATGACGATGATTAAGACTGTGATTATGATTACGACTTATGCAAATGTTGAAAAGAAATACATTTCCAAGACAAGAATTCTTGTCTGGTGCAACACTATTTCATGCTGTCATGTGCTAATAGTGAATACGATTAGGATAAAATGATTACGCAGTTTTTACTGAAGTTTAATATATTACATTAAATTTTATATAATTTTTGCGAATAATTAGGTTAGTCACCGCTACCGTTTCTTGAGTTATAACTCATCATACAGTCTCAGAGCTTTGACAAAAGCCAAAATCTAAGACGGTTTTATAGAGGTTAGTTTTCCATCTCCCATATCAGTCGTACCAATGTTTATATCACATATGGTTGACGTCTTGGTGCACTCAGTGATGAGGTGTTCAGGTGTTTCCCATTTTCCCCACAGAATCTGCATTCGTCGTTGTTTCTTAGCTTCAATCTAGTGAGTACTAGTGAGACTATTCATTGAGGAAACAGTGTCCTGTTACAATCCGAAGATTGTTCTTACTTAAATCAAGGAAAACGTTTGATTTTTCTCGTTTGTAAGTTCTGAGAAATCTCTTCTGACTGATAGAATTTAAGTTAGTTTTTTCTCAAGAACAGGCAGTAAGTTTGAGGATTCATATTTAGATACTCTATAATAATTGTTGTGTATTGTTGGCTATGCGGGCTCAAGTTATCCCTGCTAATTTTCTAATATCATGGTCCCATCTCAGATTAGGTCTTCTTGTAGGTCCATCTGTTGTCCGTTCTTCTTGCCAGGTGTCTTGTCCATTGCCACTTAAGGGATTTGATTCTGTGGACGACATCTATTACCTGGGTCTTTTGTCGTATCCACTCTATTCTTTTACGTTCTCTCTTAGTTATTTCTAGTATATTTCCTTCCATTGAGCGTTGTACGACGTGTAATTTCCTTGCAATGCCCGCTTTAAGGTTGATTCTCACTATACCTTCCATATCAGCTCCCTTCCGTTTCCTCTCTCCGTTTACATAAAATATTACATCATGGAAATGAATAGTACAATGCACACTATCCGTTCCGTTTCCCTTCCGTTCCATATCCTTTCTTTCCATACATTTTTTTTTGCGGACGGACTGAAGCGTATCGGAAACAGCGTTGTCAATTTCTTACATTTGTACCAGCTCTTTTAAAATTTTGCTGATTTTTATTTATATCATTACTATTACCTTTTCCAAAAAATACAAATTTTTAAAATAAAACTTTCGTAATGATATAAATTGTACCGGGTGGCCAATTAAGAATGGACGCCGGCTGTATCTCGAAAACTACTTATCGCATAACTTTGGGAAAAAAATTCTGATAAATAAATCGACCAAGAGAAATCGCTGGAAATTATTTTCAAGTTCGAAAAATGTCCGCTAGGGGGCGTTTCGCAGATAGCCAATCAGAAAACAGGGTTTTTCTCAAAAATATGTAGGTGAACAGGTATTTTAAATATTACTATTGTAATCAACGAGAAATTTGTAATTTTTTTGACATTGAGTATTTTCTAGCCTACTACTATAATTTTTAAACTATATGATCCTCAGCGGCAGCCTAGCATAATTTGTTCTCTTAATATCCCCGGTTAGAGACAAGATAGAAAATTTCGGCTTGCGCTGATATTTTGGAAATTTTGTGCTCTATTTAACTGTGTAAAGAGAAATAAAGCCTCCTATTTAATTTTTTTATGCAAAAGCGCAATATATGTTATGATGTCAAACAGCGTCCTCTAGCTACCACGAAAAAAATGATTGAAACAAAATTTACACTGGAGATCATTAAGGAAGAAAAGCTCTTTTAAACCAGCCCTAGTTTGTTTAAATCGGTTAACTCAAACCAGAGTTATCCTTATTTTAATAAAAGCAAGTTTAACTTTCCCCCACCACTTTATTTTATGAGATAGAGCAAAACACTCTAAATCAAAAAAATTACAAATTTCTCGATGATTACAATAGTAATATTTAAAATACCTGTTCACCTGCATATTTTTGAGAAAAACCCTGTTTTCTGATTGGCTGTCAGCCAAACGCCCCCTAGCGGACATTTTTCGGACTTGAAAATAATTTCCAGCGATTTCTCTTGGTCGATTTACTAATTACAATTTTTTTCCCAAAGTTATACGATAAGTAGTTTCTGAGATACAGCCGGCGTCCATTCTTAGTTGGCCACCCGGTACAATAAGAAGTATGGAACTGATACGGAACGGAAGCTTACGTATAGAGTCAATACAATAAAAAATACGGAACGGATATGGTATGGATATGGAATGGAAACGGATGGTATAGTGAGAATCAACCTTTAAGTATCCAGGTTTCGCATGCATATGTCATGACTGGTAGTACGCATTGGTGGAATGTTTTCATCTTTAGACAAAGTGGTATTCTAGATTTGAATATGATTGAGTTTCTTCCATAAGTACTCCACACATGCTAACTTAATAACTTAATATACCTGTTTATCTGTGAAAATATATTAATTATTTTATCAAAAAGAATAAAGAGCTTTTTGAGCGCACTGTGTCATCCTGTATATAATTTTTAAGTTATTCCACTTATTCGACTTATCAGAGAGTGGATAAATCGAACCTTAATTGCATACTATAAAAGATAAGCCATCGTAACTTAATAAGGTACTATTAGCTCCAGCGAACATCGAGTATAAAAGTACTTGCAGTACTGCCAATAGGAAATGCATCGAGATACGGTCGCGTTACATAATCGCAAAGAAACGAGTTCTTTTTGTTTGAAATGAGGTAAAAATAGTTTTGTATCTCGCGCTTTTTAAATTCCAGTAAGTTTTTATAATTAGAAAACAATGGTTTCAAGAATTTTCTGCTTGCGAAATAATATTTTTTTCGTTTACGAGAATTTCAACTATCTAAATAATTTTAAAGTTACAATCTGTTGTAATTCTTACTGAGACTTTAAAAATCTCTCACTTCATATCCTAATAGTTAAGGGTTAGTTTTAATATTTCTAAGATTGATTGGAAATTCTTCTTCTAAGTAATTTTTTTCTTTGATTCCAGTGGACCAACAAGCACAGGCCTCGTGGAGTAATTTCGATTCAATAGATATAGGAGACACATCAGACTTCTTCACGTCACAGCAACAGATCTTACAAACCCACCCTACCAGAGGCGGAGGTCCAATCAACTTCAGAGCGTCCAGCGGTAGTGGAAATGGTCCTCTGAAACACAAACACGATGATTACAGGTCAGTCAGTATTATTTTTTGTTAATTAATAGTTATATATTCCGATACAAGAGACGCAATATGTCTAACGAAGCAAATCATGAAAATTTAGTTATTTTTTATACAAGACGATAAAATTGTATTTTATCGTCTTACTACTTTTCTTACGATAATTGCAATTTTATCATCGTATATAAAACAATATTTTTTTCCATAGCAAGTTACGTTTTAAAAAATATTCAGAAATTATTATTTCAAGGAATTTATTACGAGTAGAAAAATATTGTGCTGGGTTGGCGTTGGTTTCTATGTAATTTGACAAATAAACAAAGCTGTCTCTTTAGTTGTCAGTTTTGAATCAATATTTTTTTTAATTTTCGTTCGTGTCGATTGCTGATTGAATTGGAGCCAGAAATGGCTCAAAACGGAATAAGTAAATTACCAGCAGATATTCAGGCTGAGGCGACAAACGCCATTATCCAAACTACTTCCATTTAAATCCCGAATAACTTATGAAAAGGAATACAAAAATTTTCAAAAATGGAAGCAATTAATAAACGTGCGAGAATAAATAAAGTTTTTAACCTATCCTTGCTGTTAAAGTACTGTATGATCGAATAAAAACGGCGTCAGCGATGGCTATGAAATGAAGATCGCTGTCATTTTATATGTAAAATTATATGGGAAAAGTCATCGATCGTCGTTTCAAGCCAACTGGACGCCGTTTTTTTTCGATCAAACGGTACTATTTTTGATAGATATAAGGCAATTTCAACAGTTGCCATGGAAAAAAATATATTTTAGAAGCATCTCTACATGAGATATTACTATTCTAATGAAAAAAATATTGTTTACAGGACATCGCCTACGGCTGAACTAAGAAAAAATCCTAGTCTATCTGCTCCAGATGAGTGTGCTAGAGCCTGTAGAGAGGGGGAACCTCCCAAAATTTGCTACTACCACTTCACACTGGAACACTACAGCGTTCTTGGCGCGTAAGTTTGCATAATTATAAAATCTTTTAACATGAGGTGATTCTTTAAATACTGACGAATATATCCAGTTGTAATTAATGTAAGTTGTTATACACAGTTAAAGTAATATTTATTTTTAATTAGTTAGACATCCATTATTATAATTCCGTATAATTTTACAGTTTAGTAAATAAAATCGAGACTATACGAGTATACTTGCTTCTGAAGTACTTCAGTCTAGAAGTTCTGAAAAATTAGCTCAACATCATGTGTTTTGAAAAATCATGATAAACTTGTCGGACAAAAAAAAATTTCAATTTCCTAGTTGTGCGTCAAAAGGTTCGTCGTTCGACATACAAATTTCTATCCAATTATCCGTCAAATGAATTTAATAAATAATTTTTTGGTCCCTTTTTCTGCTTCTTGTATTTTGTTTGTTAATAAATAATTATTATAAATACACTCAGCGATTCTTCTTCTTCTTCGGGTTCCATCTCCTAATGGAGGTTGGAAATCATCATGGCAATTCTAACTTTGTTAACGGCTGCTCTGAATAACTGGTTTGAAGTCATTCCAAACCATTCTCTCAAATTCTTGAGCCATGATGTTCTTCTTCTTCCTTGGCTCCTTCTGCCCTTTATCTTTCCTTCTATTATGTTCTGCAGCAGGGCATATTTAGGTCCTCTCACGCATGTGTCCAAAGTACCTTGTCAGTCCATGCAATCCTCAGTGCCGATCACCTCACCATCTCTTCTGAATTCTGCGTCAAGCTTCTACATTTCGTAACCTTTTCAGTGTGCAATCATCAGCATAATCATAACAGTAGAGTTGCAAATGCCTCAAGCATTCTCCATTTCTGGCCTTTTTTGATGTGTCCAAGCCTCAGAACCATAGAGTAGAGTTGCAAAGTCTGCTATTTCTATTCGAGCTTTTATTTCTGCTGATTGATCCAAGTTTTCGGTCAACCAACTGCCTAGATATTTCTATTTTTTTATTTCTCTCCATTGAGGTGTATCATCTATTAGAACATTGGCTTGGACATCTTCTCTCTTAGTGATGATCATAAATTTAGTTTTCTTAGGGTTCATTTTCAAGCCATAGACTCTACACGTGTTGTTTAATCTTTGTAGAAGTGTTTGCAGACCCTCCACGTTGTCTGCTATAAGGACGGTATCGTCGGCGAACCGCATATTATTTAAGACCTGCCCATTAATAGTGACGCCCTCCTTTCTACTGGTCAAGGCCTCCCGAAAAAAAAACTCACCGATTGTTTTTACTTAAATCAAGGAAAATCTACTAGTTGTGCGTCAAAAGGTTCGTCGTTCGACATACAAATTTCTATCCAAATATCCGTCAAATGAATTTAATAAATAATTTTTTGGCCCCTTTTTCTGCTTCTTGTATTTTGTTTGTTAATAAATAATTATTATAAATACACTCAGCGATTCTTCTTCTTCTTCGGGTTCCATCTCCTAATGGAGGTTGGAAATCATCATGGCAATTCTAACTTTGTTAATGGCTGCTCTGAATAACTGATTTGAAGTCATTCCAAACCATTCTCTCAAATTCTTGAGTCATGATGTTCTTCTTCTTCCTTGGCTCCTTCTGCCCTTTATCTTTCCTTCTAATATGTTCTGCAGCAGGGCATGTTTAGGTCCTCTCATTATGTGTCCAAAGTACTCAAGTTTTCTCTTTTTAATGGTGTTAATCACCTCTTAGTCCTTCTGACAGGTCATATGACCAAAGGCAATTAAGTGAACTCTATCGTCTATACTGAATGAAATTTGTTTTTATGGAAAGGAACCGCTACCTGTACTGAATGAAGTTTAACATCTAGCGAATAGATGGCGCCAGCAATATTAAAATTTGGAATTTTATAAAAAGAAAAATAAAACGCTACAATGTAACCCCTTAGCATTCTTAATCTAAGCTTTAAGTTAATGTCTCCACTGCAGAGACATTTTTTGAGTTTTACAAAGGCTGCTCTAGCTATTTCTATTCGAGCTTTTATTTCTGCTGATTGATCCAAGTTTTCGGTCAACCAACTGCCTAGATATTAATATTGTTGTACTCTCTCCAGAGGTGTATCATCTATTAGAACATTGGCTTGGACATCTTCTCTCTTAGTGATGATCATAAATTTAGTTTTCTTAGGGTTCATTTTCAAGCCATAGACTCTACACGTGTTGTTTACTCTTTGTAGAAGTGTTTGCAGACCCTCCACGTTGTCTGCTATAAGGACGGTATCGTTGGCGAACCGCATATTATTTAAGACCTGCCCATTAATAGTGATGCCCTCCTTTCTACTAGTCAAGGCCTCCCGAAAAAGAAACTCACCGATTGTTTTTACTTAAATCAAGGAAAATCCTTGATTTTTCTCGGTCGTAAGTGCTGAGGAACTTTTTCGAGTGTGTTAGACCGTTAGAGTCTTCCAGGTTCTTTTAGTTGGTTTCCGCTTGGAAAACAGAACGGTTCTGGTACAAACACAGAAAGTTACAAAACTATTTCATTAATTCCATTTACAATTAAAACGGATCAAAATAATCGAAAAAAAGGCTAGTTTCTTAGACGTTCTCATAATATCAAATATTCTTCAACAATAGCATGCGGTTCCGTTTTTTTCGTATTCCACACACGAACCCACTGAAAGGTACCACTAATCGTCGTGTAATCTGTTTACGTGGGCGAATCATAAAAAAGGAATAAAAAAACTTAATCGAAACTCGTAATTCATGCTCGGCACGCGCACTTAATATTCAAAATCCGGTCCTGGATCAAACTAAGCCGCTCGAGTGTAGTTCCCATAAACCACGCCAGAGTCGACCGATAAATATTTATTTATTTTTTTCTGTTGTGTGTTTATATGTGGGTTGAAGTACCTGTACTAGTACTACCGAGTATCCTGAATTTTTTATTGGTTGTATGTAGATATGTAATCTTTTTTTTAACGCTGCATCTGTGGTCATATATTAACATTTTATTTTGTCCAACATTTATTATACAGGGTGTTTCAAAACAAATGCGAAAAACTTTAGGGGGTGATTCCTTGTTCAAAATAAAGGGTAGTTTGCTTTATAAACGTTGGGTCAAAAGTCAACCATTAGGGAGATATCGCGGTACAAAGTTGGCGGAAAATTAATGTTTTTATTTTTTATCTTGAAAACAAAAAGAGATAGACTAATGAAATTTTATGGAAGCATTACTGTTATGAAAACACACTTTCTGGTAATTTTTCACTTTTTAAAATGAGTGGAAGGGGTTGAAATAAACTGCCCCTATCATTCTTGTTAACAAAATTTAAAGAAAAATCTTATCATACACATGCAAAAAAATTAATTTGGATAGTTTAGTTTGTTTAGAAACTTTTTATCTCTTGTGTTTTTTGATAAAACTCACCAATTTGAAATTAAAAATAAAAATGTAAAGCATTACATGTCAGGACAAAAAACATTTTTAGATTAAGAATCTAGTGATAATAACGATAATAATAATCATCTAGATAATAACGTATTGCAGTAGAGTAATGTCAAATAAAATAATATTAGGAACATCCTAAAAAGTAACAGCGGCCGACTAGATTTTTTCCTAAATAAATTACAGCAGCCCACTAGATTCTTTATCAGAAAATGTTTTTTGTCCTGGCATGTAATGCTTTACATTTTATTTTTTAATTTCAAATCGGTGAGTTTTATCAAAAAAACACAAGAGATAAAAAAGTTTCTAAACAAACCAAACTATCCAAATTAATTTTTTTGCATGTGTTTGATAAGATTTTTCTTTAAATTTCGTTAACAAGAATGATAGGGGTAGTTTTTTTCAACCCCTTCCACTCATTTTAAAAAAGTGAAAAAATTACCAGAAAGTATGTTTTCATAACAGTAATGCTTCCATAAAATTTCATTAGTCTATCTCTTTCCGTTTTCAAGATAAAAAATAAAAACCTTATTTTTCCGCCATCATTGTACCGCGATATCTCCCTAATGGTTGACTTTTGACCCAACGTTTATGAAGCAAACTACCCTTTATTTTGAACAAAGAATCACCCCCTGAAGTTTATCGCATTTGTTTTGAAACACCCTGTATATTACGACACAAATTATGTTTTTAGTAGAGTTTTATTTTGTATTAATAAAAATGGCATATACCTGTTGGTCGGCTATTTCGAAAAAAGGGCAGATTTGGGAAAGCTGATTTTCTTATACCTGTATCAACATACATTAGGGATATTAATTTTAATAACCTAATTACTTATTTAATTAATATGATAATAATATCTTGAAATAATATATTTAGAAAAAAGAAATCAGGTGTATCGTCACTATTACTTCTCTTCCATGATTCAGATATAACAATACGATCTCTGAAAGCTATTAATGACCAAAACCCGACACAAAACAAGTGCTAATTTCGAGAGAAAGCCAAAAAACCTATTAAAACACACAGAAACCTTTTTGTCTTACAATATTACAGCTAAATAAGCAATTATTACCACACAAAACGCTGTTTAGCATATTTATTACGCACTTCATTGATTCGTCAAGCAAGCGGATAATACCGCCCAGTGCTCTCTGAGTATCAGATGTTTTAAACGTTGCTTATTTTGCATTTTATAATTAGCAGCTGACTTTGATTCCTTTGACTTGGCAAAAAGAGAAATTATCTTTGACTTTTAATGCCGGTAATGCGTTTTGCTTTCGTTCAATTCGGGCTATTATAGTGGCGGCAGGTGGAGCATAATGAAACATTAAATGATCGTGATGAGCAACGACCTGATTTTGTGCGACAGAAAAATTGAATGAAGCACGTGTGAGGGCATGTCGTGTAAGTGATACAATAGCATGTGATTACTGTATTCGGCTTGATTATACGACTTTTTTTTAAATAAAAGTATAATGTGTGACATGAAAATTGCAACACCCAGTAAATCTAAATATGTTTTATCCAACAGCCACTACTCATACAGACATTACTCACATGTATACATGCCATATAAAGTAAATAATAACACACGCGTGACTTTT